TCCAGAGCACTGGGCAGCATGGAGGAAACAGTCTCCTGTCCATGTCTTTGTCAGCATCCCACCTCATAGCTGTGCCTACAACCTCTGGTCTCCTGGATCTTCCCAGGTGGCCATGAAGCCCTGTCTTCTGAGCTAAGGCCCTGTCTCCTGGCCAAAGCTGCCAGCCCTCCTCATGACTGGCTAAGTCTGCTCTCTGCATAGTCTCCTGAGGGCCCAGGCTTAGAGCTCCCATCTCACCCCCGGGCCCAGCTTAGAGCCCCCATCTCACCCCCAGGCCTTTCCACAGCTATTCCCTGGTCTGGGGTCAACAGTCTCTTTCAGTCTAGAACCCTGCTGCTGCCAGGAGCTCAGAATCCATGTCTGTGTTAATCACAAGCCCACAAAGTATATGTACGTATCCTGTTAAAAAAAAAAAAAACTATGTAAGACCAGTTGGGTGGTGGTTCATGCCTATAATCCCAGCTGCTCAGGAGACAGAGATCAGAAGATCTATGGGATAGAGGCTTGAGGCCAATCTGGGCAAGAAATAAGCAGGACCCCCATTTCAATAGAAGAGCTTGGGGCCTGTCATCCCAACTACTGGGAAACATAGAAGATATCAAGGTTGTCTTGGCAAAAATGAGAGACCCAGTCCAAAAAATGACTAACACAAAAAAGATGGAGAATGGCGCAAATGTTGAAGTGATCGCCTAGCATTCAAGTCCTGAATGTGAAACCCCAATAACACTCAAACAAACAAAGATTGTGCATTATTCCTGAAAAACGTGACTACTGCTGAGCATATTCTAAATGCCGTAACAATGTTCCCTATAAAGTGGGTTCTGGTGGCTCAAGCCTATAATCCTAGCTACTCAAGAGGCTGCGATATAAGGATAGAGGTTTGAAGCCAGCCCAAACAGACAAATCCAAGATTCTTACCTCCAACTGAACAGCAAAACAAGATACACAGCTCAAGTAGTAGAGCACCAACCTTGAGTTGAAAAGGCAAGCAAGACCAAAAGACCCTGAGTTCAAACCTTGGGACACACACACACACACACACACACACACACACACACACACACACACACACACACACACACACACACACACACACACACACACACACACACACACACACACACACACACACACACACACACCTTAATGAGATACTTCTTTAGCAACAAATAACAACACTCAATAACTTTGGAAGCCATACTGGTTGGAATAAACAGATTCAAGACTAGCAACAAATAACAACACTCAATAACTTTGGAAGCCATACTGGTTGGAATAAACAGATTCAAGACCAAAAACCTGGAGACTAACAGAAGACGACTGAAGGAAGTTCAGGATCCCAGTTTGGCTGAGTTTCTCCTAGAGACTCAGGATAAACTGTAACTACAGTTGGCAGGAATCAGACAACCTTGGATCACCAATCACCAAGTTATTGTTGACAGAGACTCTAGCTACAAGGTTTAACAGAATATTTAAAAAAAAAAAAAAAAAACATAGAATGGTCCAAATGAAAGTCCTGATTTTGAATTATACAAACTTCCCTCAAAATGGTTACTTTGTTTCCAACTCAGAATCCAGGCTAGTTTGACCATCCAAGCTTCTCATGGAGACTGGGTAGAGCTTTAAGAAGCCCTAGTGACTCCATGCTGTCCCTGCACAACCAGTTTCCTGTCAAGGGCAGCACTTCAGGGACCACACATCTGACAACCCGCTGTGGGCTCCTTGAACTTCAGAATGCTTCTCAACAGGCTTCCTCTAGGCAGGGATTTGAGCAGGAAAGGCAAGCTACCCCCGAAGGCCAGAGCATGTAAATGGGTGGCTGAGGAACACCACCAGTTTTCTGGTAGCCAACCAGGTTACCAATATCCTAGGGTACATGCTGACCCCATGGAAAGCCAGGAGAGCCACTTAAGGGAAAGCAGAAAGGCAGGGGAATGGTAGCTAGTCCCGCTAGCAGGCCACAGGAGCACCCAGCCACCCCGCACCTCCCCCATCAGCTTGTATCGGGGACCTGCCTACCAGGCAGAGGCTCTGCCCTGTGAGTCCATCCTGGCCTGTCTTGGCACACCCCAGCAGAGGGCTGCAGCCCAGTCAGGCCAGAAGCACACTTCAGAGCCTCCTTCCCAGAAGAGTTCTCACAAACTAAACCGACCCCAGCCCTTTCCTCAGGCTGATCACAGCATTAGAAACAGTTATTTAGAGCAATAAATCCCAACAGCTAAGCGGCTTTTACGTCAGAGAGCCAGGGCCTGGCTTTGGCAAAGTCCAGAAAGAACAGTAATAAAAGCATAATGCGCACCTCACCCAACACTGAGGGAGTCTAAAGAAAAACGGGAGAGAAGAGTTACACACATGAAATAAAGAGGCCACTTGATCGCCAAGCAAAGCCTAACTGCCCTGCCAGCATGAAAGAGGAGACCTAATGGCAGCTGGCTTCCACCAGAGCCTAGCACACCACCAGAGCTGTACCAGACCACACAGGAGCAAGCGGGACCCTTGCCAGAAAAGCCGTGGGCAAGGGGGAGCCAGGCAGGCCAGAGGAGGGGCCAGAGCCGACCTGAGCGAAGACACGAGGAACCCAGACAAGCAGTCAACAAGCATGGCAGCCGACAGTCGGGGTGATGCAAGAGGGCACGAGTGCTCTCCACCCCAGGCTGAGGAGGAGGGAAGAGGGGTCCCCAGCTCTGCCTCCTTACATCCCGAGAAACTTGCTGTTCAAGAGTGAGCTGAGAGCCGGGCGCTGGTGGCTCACACCTGTAATCCTAGCTACTGAGGAGGCTGAGATCTGAGGATCGCGGTTCAAAGCCAGCCCGGGCAGGAGAGACCGTGAGACTCCTATCTCCAAGAAACCACCAGAAAACCGAAGTGGCGCTGTAGCTCAAGTGGTAGAGCGCTCGCCTTGAGCTGAAGAGCTGAGAGAGAGCGCCCAGAGTTCAAGTCCCACGACTGACCAAAAAAAAAAAAAGTGAGCTGAGGGTGGGGGCGTGGCTACCGCACTGGGTTAGCATCCAGGAGGCCCTCAGTCCCACCCCAGAGCTGCAAAACAATACAAAACAAAAAACAGCAAACTGAATAACTGGCCATTAATTCTCTTCCTCCCTAAAAGTCTATTAAAATGCTACTATGAAAAAATATTAATAAATTGTGAAAGGGTTTATAGCGAGGCTTGACAATTAGAGAAAAGATGCATCAACTGACAACAAGGAGCTGGAAGAACTCCTCTGGAAGCCCCAAATCCAACCGGGCCACCCTGATGGGCAATGTCACTCAGCAAGGACTTCGGCAGTCACAAAGCCAACCCTGACCCAACCACGCCAGGAGGGACACAGCAGGGCACTGTAGTTCCAGAATATGCAAAATGAGCAAGCCCCACTTAACAGAAAGGTGAGGGCAGGGACTTCTCCAGTTTGCTAAAAAAAAATTTTTTTAAATGAGATGGCTTGAACTGCCCGGGGCTGGTGAGGTGGGAGAAAAGGAATATAGGCCTCTTTCGCAAAGATGACCAAGACAGGTCAGCTGAGAGAGCACTTTGGAGCAAATCAGTGAACTCCAGAATATTCTGAAGATGCCTGGCGACGACTCTGCTTCCACTTTTACAATCTCCAGTGCAGATTCTTACACAAGTGTGCAAAATAAACACATAGGCACTATAAACAGTGCTACAGCCATTTACAAGTTACCAAAAACAATATTAGATTTACATACATGCCGACATAAAGATGCATTGAAGAAACATAAAACACTTACCCCACATAAAAACCTCCAGGCTACGAAGATACATACAAATGCAACACTACATGTTTACACACAACAGTGAAGCAACCTATCCCAAGAGCTGGAGGCAGATCTGTCTACTACATATACTTCAGTCCACAGAGCTCAACATTCCCCCCACCCTGCCCAGCAATGGTCATTAACCATCTCTTTACAACAATCAATACGTGAACAATCTGAATCAATAAAACTTCATATCTAAATAAAGTCTGGAACCCTGCCCTTTGCAGCTTTCAGACAAAGACAATCACACCCAAGGGGGTTGTATGTGGACATTCTGGGCAACCTTGGAGAAAGAAGTCCAGACCCTAAGCCTCCACCTCTACCCCACAGAGCAGAGCCTGAGCCAAGGCTGACAGAACCTCAGTGTCTCAGGACTCCATCCAGACATCTGTCCAGCTTCTTGTGTCTGTCCTCGTCAGCTGAGGACAGACACTGACACCTAAGAGCCCTAAAGTCTAGGGTGTCACCATGGGCTGGAAAAGGCTGGAAACAAGTGGCCTATGGACCACTTAAAGAGGGACAGGCTGAGCTCTCTTTAAGTTTGAGTGTTCAAGATACATGCTGCAACTTTATGGGGTCCTAAGGCAGGAAGTTCCCACATGTACATGCCTACATGCTCCTGAAGCTGAGTGACAGTCACATGGATTCCAATCCTATTCTCCCCACTCTTTATGACATTAAACAATCCCTCCTTCCCTGCAGTTCCAACACTATTTACGGCTGTTGGAAAGCATAAATACTTGTAAAGTGTTTCGATAGCACCCAATAAAACACTCAAACACTAGGCTCAAGTCTATGGTCACTTCCTGTGGGTGCAAATCACAGCTTGCTCCACACTTGGCTCAGGGTATCTTAACAGAGGAACTCCTTCAACCTATCCTAACAAAAAAAAAAAAGCCTGGACACAAAACTAACTCCATCACAGCCATCACCCTGCTCAGAACCAATTCTTTTCCTCCTGCCATCAAGAAAACTGGCTGCTGCTTGCATCAGCATGCAAAGCCATGGCTTCACGCCAAACTCCCCTGGTTCTTTATCAGCCCCCTTTTCACCAAGATGAAGAGCCAACAGTCCACTCTGCCCTTGGTGGTGTCATGAAAGCAGTGGCCATTATCAAGAAAAACAGAGACTACCATCCAGCCAGCAGGCTACACTGACAGCAGTAGACGTCTGTAAAGAACAGCAACAATTTCTGTGCAGAGAAGGAAGGAGGCAGGCCTTACCTGGATGGCTTTGGGAGCTCATTGCTAGTAGCGTCTATGCCCTTAAAAATGGCTCAGAATGTCCACGTAAACAATAGTCCCAAAGAGCTTCAAACTTCCACCAACACATACAGAGGATCTGGTCCCAGCCACGCAAACTTGGAGTCGCCTGACAGTCTTGTAACCCAAGTAATCCACAGGAGAGAGAGCAAGGTCTTCACCTGGCTTTCTGAAGACAAACCTGCATGGTTAGAAGAGAGATACCAGTTAGGATGGGACAGTTGGAGAGAGTGACAGCTGAGGAAGAAGACTTTCTCACAGGTTTCTACCAGTGATTGATAAAGCAATCAACATGGAACCATTTCTACATATACACACCAGCTGGGATGATTAGCGAATCCTAGTATGTGCAAAAACGTCTGGAGAGCAGAGTTCCCCAACCCCAGCACTACTGACATGGGGTGAACACCTGGCTGCTGGAGACTGGGAGGCTGTTCCAGGCCTTGTAAGATAGTTAGCAGGATCTTTGCCCTCCATCCCAGGTGCCAGTACCCCTCAAAACTTGACCTCTCCACAAACCAGTCACCATAAAAACACATTCAGGAACACCAACCCACAATCCCTGACCCAGCCTGCTCCGGTGCTCACCGAGGCTTCTGTGCATCACCTCCAACTACTTATGATCAAAGACCTAACAAACTCATCCTGTCGAGGATTGCCCTCAGAGGTTAGCTGCTTAGATGGTTTCCAATCTTACATTATTACCTACAACTCTGATTCATATCTTTATGAGTATTGTCTTATATCCGGTTATTTCCTTAGGAAACACAGTGACGTTTTATCTTCAGGTTCAACATTTTTTCATTCATCCCAGTCACGAACACACATTGAAAAGCCAACTTTTTCATAAAATTAAACGCTTAGTATACTTGGGGTAGGGGGAATGCTGGGTATATTGTCTCAGCTCACAGACATGCCCTGTGTGTCTCTAGCCCTGTAAACTTGCTCTGCCCTGATACTGTGAAGAACCCTAAAACCAGCTTATCCCCATTTCCAGTCTAGGTAACTTGAGGGAACTGGATATTGGTGGCAGTGATATTATTTTCCTCTACCTGGATTCAGCTAGCATGTCTTTTCTTTTAATCGTGAAATTGAAAGCTGCTGTCAGAAGATGTATGGGGGGGGGAATCTCTTCACTTACTTTGCTTAAAGCATGACCCCTTAAACACATGCTGATTCTCTTCCTGCTCAGGAAAAATACTCTGCAATGACATCTTTTGGTTATTATTTTTATAATTTGCTCTGGCCTCCCAAGCAATGCCCCGCCTGGGCTGGAATGCTGGATCTGGCCTCCCTCACCACTGACACATCTGCTGTTTGCTCTGCAGCCCCAGGAGGCCTCTCCAGCACATTCTACACAGGACTGCTTCCACAGCGCCAGCTTCATTCTTTATGACTTCTGATGTGGTTTAATGAAGCCTGAAACTTTGTTTCCAACTAAGTCGAAAACAACACAATGCTTCACTACCCACTCCACCACCTTCTCTCCTCAGCTGCACCTCTGCACAAGCAACCTTTTCTCGTTCTACTTGTGTCTTGCCCTAGCCAGATTGAGACTTGAAGCCCTCTTCAGAGGTACATTCTTGGGCATTTCCCTGTCCACCCCCTCTGAGGCATCTTGCTAGGGACTCTTCAAATCCAGCTCTCCCAGACCCGAGGGCAGCCTGGGGGCAGTGTGTTCACCCAAACCTTGTTCACTCTGCTTGGCAGGGCACCAGCCCCGAGCCAAGTGCCCAGTGGACTCTGCAGCGCTGCCAGGCACAGATGGATCTTCTCTTCTCCCATCTGCAGAGTGAACAGCCGTTTCTCTGTGGTACAATACATACGTTCTAGAAGAACCTCACTCTGGGCAAAACTTACAAGAAACTATTCAAATCTTCATGACCTGCACTCTATAAAAATCAGTAATAACTAATAAGAAAACTACCACAGTTTTTTAAAAAGATGGTATATATTCCTAACAGAGTTTAAGAAACATAGAACTGACATTTGGTAGTAGAGATCTGTAAAGAAAAAACAAGTTTCTGACTTACTAAATGAGGGACAACTGAGCTCAACCACACCATGACACTGCCAACTATCAGGATTAAAGAGCAAGACCCAGTGGAGAGAGGAGTCAGGATCATGAGGTGGCAACAAAATCGTCTGCAGGGAGGTCAGACATTTTGTGACGTAACTCACTGACTCCAAGCACTGCAGTCCCAGCAATGTGATACTTACGAGGAACCCTGAAAATATATGGGCCTGTGCCAGAAGTTTAGGTCAGGAAAGAACTACATGTATGACCACGGTCCATCCCATAGATTTACCACCTAGTAACACAGTAGCCATCTTAGTTTGTGTAAGTATATGCTATGCTGGTGGCAAAATGACAAAATCATTGAGCAACATCGTTTAATGTGTGTCCATCCCACCACTAAGTAACACAGGATAAATCACAAATAAATTAAAAGATGGAAAGATATATCATGCAAACACTAATCAAAAAAGAAAGCTGTAAAGACTGTTAGGTTGTTTAAAGTCAATGTTAGAGGAAGGATAACACATTGGATTTTTCTAACAATGGAGGGGTCAGTTTAGGTATAAACACTCTGTGTCTGGAAACAGAGGACATATTGAAAGCAAGACTGTCAACAGCACAAGGAAAAAATTATACATATAAAATCAGAGCTGGTTACAGCTGGAAAATTCTGCCCCTGCTCTCAGGAACTGTGAGAACAAATAGAAAATTAGTTAGAAGAGAGACCTGAGAACACTACCAACGTGACTGAGATGTCTCTAACACTGTACAAATGGGAGTGGGAGAGACACAGCTCTTCACTTTTCTTTGAAGGCAGAGAGCAGGCAGAGAAAGAACACTTTCTGAATCATAAAGACCACATACAAGTCTCAGTAAACATGAAAGGGCTCAAGTCACTTAAGGCACATTCTCTGACTAAGCTGAAATTAGTCAGCAATAAACATAAAGATCACTGATAATCCTGCTTTTTCTTTTTTGGCAGCAATGAGTCTCAGCATAGGGCCATGTGCTTGCTCGGCAGGTGCTCAACCACTTGAGCCACTCCTCTAGCCCTCAAATCCCAAATATTTGCCAAGTAATTAAGATACTTCATGAGTGAGAAAAAATTCAAAACAGAAACTGGAAAGCACATAAATGTGCACTGCCTAGAAGAAAGTTTACAAGAAAAGAAGGCTTCGACTCAATGATCACAGTTTTACTTTAAGAAATTAGAAGCAGGCCAGGAACAGTCTCTCATGCTTATAATCTCAGCTAAAAAGGGAGGCTGAGATCTGGAAGATCAGTTTAAAGCCAGCCTGGGCAAACTTTGGTAAGACTCCACTCATCTCTACAAACAATCTGGGCGCGATGGCACCCGCCCCCACTATGCCACAGACTGCAGGTAGAATGACCATGGTCCAGGCTGGCCTCAGGCAGCTGGGGATGGCTGAAGGGGCACAGTACTTGCCTAGCTAGCTCAAACCCCATTATTGCAACAAAAAAGAAAGAGGGGAGGAGAGGGAAAATTAGGGGGAAATGCCAGGAAGAAAAAAGAAAAATGAGCAGGGAGTAGGAAATGTGGAAGGCAGAAGGAGAAAAAAAGAAAGTAGAAATCAATAAAATGAAAAAAAGAAAACATAAAGCCAGGGATGGTGGCACATGCCTGCAATCCAGGCATGGGGGGGAGGGGGGCGGTGCTTAGACAGAAGCATCAAGAGTTCTATACAGCCAGGACCTTGTCCTTTCAAAAAAGAAAAAGAAAACATGAATGAAACTAAAAGCTAACTCTCTCTTGAAAGGCAGTGTGTCTACAGAAGTTGATGGTCTTGCAGGTGTCCGAATTACAGAGGCGAACCCACCGCATCCCAAGGCGCCCTCGGTGGTGACTTCTTGGTACCGCATGTCCAGGGGTATTAAGGGTCTACTGAAGTTTAAAGTTACAAAGAAACACCGAGAGGACCTGTACTACTAAGTATAATGAATTATAAACCTCTACAGTTAAGATGTAAGAGCAAACCAAGGGACAGAGTGTTCTCAGACCAACACAAATGTAACCACCACTCTGCAACCAAGCCCCTCACCCCCCATCCCGCATCCCAAGTCCCAAGGGACTGGGTCCTTTCAATGCACAGTGTTTAGGTCATGACCCAGCAGCATTCAACTTAGAAATCAGCAGGGACCAGTTACAGACCTAAGGTGAAAGTACAGCAACGAAGCCCAGTGCAAAGAACAACCAAGAATAGTCTTTCTGATAGGTAAAAAAAAAATGTGAGCAGATAAAAGAAGGAACCATAAAGGAAAAGGAATACTTATACTGAATTTAAAATGATCGTTTATTAAAAGACTCAGTTGGGGATTGGGGGGGGGGGGGGGGAAGTAGTCTACAGTGTAGAAGCAATTCTGGCATAAAAGTATACTCAACAAAGGGCCAACACTCAAAACACACAACTAAGTCTCACAAATCCTTAAAGGCAGACAACCCAAGTTCAAATATATATATATATGTATATATATATGTACATATATGTATGTGTGTATATACATATATATTTGCATTGGTGAGAACCTTTCCAAAAGAGGATGCAAGTGGTCAATCAACATGTAAGTAGGTACTGTGCATCTGAGATCATAGGGAAATCTAAATTAAAATCACAAGGGGAGGCCTTGTGTGGCAGCACACACCTGTAATCTTGAGGCAAGATTGTCAGTGTGAGGCCAGCCTAGTCTACATAGAGATCTCGTCTTAAAACACCCAAAACAGGGGAAAAAGAAAAACCACAATGGGGTAGGATCAAAATGGCCAAAACTGCAAAGCCCTCCCTGGAGTCACTAAGAACATGGCAGCCAGATTCTATGAACTAAGCCATACACAGATTCTGTACCTGCAATGCCACCCCAAGACAGACCAACAGAAGGCACACATGAGCTCACCAAAGTCATGCCCAAGAAAACCCCAGCAGCCTGTCTATGTGAGCCCTAGACTAGAATGTCTATCAATAGTCCTATCATAGAATATTATACAGCAAGAACAAA